CACCATTTGTGCTCATTTGTAATTATTTGTGAGTGTTCTTTTCTTGTTCTAGAATTGTGCAAACATCTTACCTTGTGAGGTTTTCCTTGTAAGTTTGCAAATTTGTGTATTTCTCTTTGAAAAAGAGTGTGCTCAAGAATTTGGGGTATAATTCTTGAGGGAGCTATAAGGTTACTCTTTGTCCTCAAAAGAAAGAACAAATTAGTGAATTTGTTGGAAAATCCTTAGAGTGGATAGCTAAGGTAGTGGACGTAGACTTTGGTTGATAAAGTCGAACCACTCTAAATCGCTGTGCAATTACTTTCAATTTTCTGCAAAAGCTTCCACCAAAATTTTAATTGCCAATTCACCCCCTCTTGGCCGATTCGTCAATCGATTAACTCAACAGTAAGTACCTTAGCATTTGCCATTAATTATTTTTGCTTCATTAATGTTTTTTTCAATAACATTTAATTTACTGCTTTTTAGAGTATGCTTTACTCCAACCAAACTTTAGTGCACGGCTTGAAAATTTGAGAAGATACGAAGATGATGTGCATGAGTTCGCAGTTGAAATACCTAAGGAGAGATGATCACAAGCATATGATGTTGAGGATTGACGTTACAGCCATATGACTACCAACCTTGCTGAATGTATCAACTTAGTGCTGAAAGGGACTCGACATTTCCCAATAGTAAGTATTGGTAGGGAGACTTACTTTAGGTTGGGTAAAGTATGGACAGACAAAAGTGCACAAGTTGATGCCATGATCAGCAATGGGAGAAATTGGGCTCCAGATTTAGAAAAGGCAATGCAAAAGAATCAAACACATGTGGCATCAATGTTTGTCCACAATTTTTCCATTCTTGATTCTGATTTCGTTGTCCAAGCACTAGTTCGACCACATGAGGGAGGTAATTCTACAACATACACTGGTAATCTGAATAGAAGATGGTGTGATTATGGTCGATTTTAAGCTTTTAGGTTCCCATGCGCTAACGTTGTTGCTGTATGTATGCACATTAATGTTGACCCATACTTATATGTTGATGACTGTTATAGCTTGCACACTATGCGCAACATTTACAGTTGTGACTTCAAGTACCTCCCAAATGAAGCAAACTAGCCTACATGTACAATTTCTGAGGAATGGTTGCCAAATCCTCAATTGTGTAGGAAGTTACATGGTCGACCTGAATCTAGCCGAATTTATGTACTTATTCTTTTAATTTTTTTCTTCCTTCTCAACTATTCGTTTGCTACGCCGCTTCGGTAAATCTTCATACTTCTTCTTCTTCACCTCTTTAATTTTCATTTTATTTTTATTATGCTCCTCAACTATGTACTTTATTGCCTCATTTTCCCACTCTTCATCTGAAGAATAAGCTTGAATCTGAATTTTCGATCTCCGAGTCAGCGTTGTGAAACCCATAAACACTGTTAGCCAAATCAATTCCAATTTTTTCCCACGACCACATATTTGAGATTATCAATTTTTTGTCACTTCTCATACATTATAATCTTCACCCTGAACCCCTATTTATACTAAATTTTCCAAAACAGTTGTTGGAACTCATCACACCGACATGACGAGTTCCAGTTAATTTAAAAAAATTGACGGTCAACCCAACGGTCCAATTTTTTTAATTTATACCCTTTGGAACTCGACACTCTGGTGTCACGAGTTCCATGTAGTTTTTTTTCTTTTTCAAATTTGTTAAAAATTTCTAAAAGTTTTATATTATTTTTAACTTCAAAATTTGAAAAATTTACATTTTTTTAAATTTTATTAACTACACTAAATATTAATGAAATTTATAAAAATTTATAAATTTTTTATAATTTTAAAAAATTACACTTTATTTAATTATAATTTTAAAAAATCAACAAATTTATTACTTAACAATGAATTTTTTATACAATTAAATATTGAGTACAAAAACTTAAATAAACAAATTTATTACTTATATTTCCGTAATTCTTGTCGATGTCGAGGCGTGGTAAAATGATAATGACGTGGTGCTCGTAGATTTCATCGTGTCGTCCACCTTTTTTATTTTCATCTTTTTCCAGTTTCGGTGTACTGAACATTACTCCACCACTTTAATATACATCTTCGGGTGAAACGATGAAGTATTCAAGGTATTTGACGCCATCATTGACATCATCGCCTCAAATTGAGATTCTTTGTGATGAAGAAGATGATCCTATGGACCTCTTTCTTCTGGTTCTGAGGAAAATTGTTGTGAAGGTGGAACTTGATCCCACCCACTCTTTCCCACGCCGCTCGACTCTCTATCGATGGTTGATATGCACCATATCTCCATAACTTTCTTGCGAAGGATAATAATTGTCAAGTATGGTTTCCCATTTGCTTCATAATTTTGGAGGTAGGAAGAAACATTGAAATCAAAATCTTTGGGTTGTACCTCGAAACTATTAGGTAATCGTAAATATTTTGCCATTGATGCATGAATGTACCATGCTTCCTCGGCCAATCTTCACTATGGTTCCCACGCACATCTATTTTATGCAATTCGTCAATGTTAAATATTGACATTTCTATCGGTTGGTGAAACCCAAACTATTGCAAAACTCTATCGGCGGCATGGATCTCAACAATTGCGAAATGGAGAAATGGTGTTACGGCACACCATGTCTCCGCTCCTTCAAAGAACATTGGCGGTAGACACCGTTGGATATCCGACTCATAATAAGTCATCCAATTAAACTTCAAAAGTATTATGTTAGTATAATTAGACAATTAATATTACAATTTCAAAGTTAATGGAAAAAATATTAAAATTTACCACATGCCTACCGGTGATATCAATCCTCATCTGAATATATACTTTGGTTGCACCCGACAACTTTGGATCAGTTATTCGGTGTCGCCATCTAAAAAAATTATGTTATTTATTGTCATTTTCAAAATATTTAAATAAATATTATAAAATATCAAAACTTTAAATATATGAATTTACCTTGCGGCGTGAGAAAACTCCATAGGAGCGGATGTAATAGGCGTTATAAACGGGAGACGATACCACGCCCATGATTGGAGCAAAACTAAACAACCCGCTACATCCATTTTTTTCCTCTAACGACTACGGTCGCCTTATAGTTCACGATACAAAAGGCCAAAATTGCATAACCCCAACTATATTGGCAATATACAGCGAAATCCTCTATTACCGGAAGATATTGGGTGTGCACCAGCAAGATCCCTCCAATCAACATCATAAGATATGCTCGAGTTGCATATATCACCTCTTGCTCTGTTCATTGTTCATCTCTCTAAATTCTCTTTACAATCAAGTCATTTGTATCCGCAACCCATCAATGACATCAACTGGAGCCTCTTTTCCCAATAAATTTGAAATAACAACATTTACCTTATAAGTGTTGTGAAGCACCAATGACATACCATTAGTCGGAACGCCAAGTTGATACGCGTTATCTTCCAAAGTTATCGTCACTTCACCACAAGGAAAATGAAACGTATGCGTTTCGGGCCTCCAACGCTCAATCAACGCTGAAATCAGTGTCGTCATCACCTTAAATCTGCGAAGAAACGTCACTCCATATAATCCGAATTGTGAAAGATATATCACCATCTGCTCTGTGGCTCTTAATTCTTCATTCCTTGATGACGAATGACTTGTTATTCTCGCTAATTTGAAAATCAATTATTTAATACAATTACATAAATAATTATGATTAATAATATCATTTCGTTAAAACTAAAAGGAAATAAAACAAATTAAATTTATTGTTGTCAACTCGATTGACAAAACATGAACATCATCGAGACGTAACATTTCTTCTCTTGAGGTCATTTCAACACAAAATCTTCAACACAAAAGTTTTTGCTCTCAATAGAATATTTGATTACAAGTGAAAAAGCAATCCAACACAAACCTCTATTTATACTACTCTACCCAACGACTAGTTTTTTTCAAATTGAAAATAGTCGTTGCAACTCGTGATGAGTTCCATTGACATTTTAAAAAAAATTTGACAGTTGAACAACGGTCAATCCAACGGTCAAAAAATTTAAATTTATACTCGTTGGAACTCGTCGCACTGGCGTGATGAGTTTCATGTGCATTAAAATATTGTTTTTTTACATTTCTTTTAAAAAATTCAAAAAAATATTTTTTATTGGGACTCGTCACGCGGGTATGACGAGTCTTGGAGGAAATTTTTTTAATTCAGTCTATGGGACCCACCTGACACGGTCCATTAAAAATTTATATCTTATGGAACTCGTCACCCCCATGGGCACCGTTGCATTTGCCCTAGCTGCCAAATTAAAAGTTTGAATGACCTATTGGGTCAAATAATTCACCTGCCTGAATCATTTGGCCAATTCTGCCTATATTTGAAGTATGCAGATTAAGTTGGAAACATGACAAACTGAATTTAACACATAAAATAAATATACATAGTAGCAAAATGGATTTAGGAGAGAGACTGAAAGTTAAGTTACTATATATTTTATTTTTTTTATATTTTTTATTAAGGTAAATTACGCAATTAGTACATAAGCTATAAGTTTTATCTATTTTAGTACTTAAACTTTTATTTTTTTTCAAAATCATACATAACGTTTAGTTTTTATTTTATTTTAATACCCCGCCATTAAAAAATTAATGCGCTTAGTACCTAAACTATTAGTTTTGGTCCGTTTTAGTACCTAAACTTTAAAAAAATCAAATTTAATGTTTACTAAGACGAAACAAAAACTAAACTTTAACTATAGTTTTGGAGAAATTTAAAGTTTAAGTATTAAAAAGATCAAAATTTATAATTTAGATAATAAATGCATAATTACCTTTTTTTATTAATGATTTATTTTTATTCTCAAAATTTTATAAATTCGTTTCTAAGATAAAATAATGTATTACACAGTAGATTTTGTTGATATTTTAAACATAAAAAACCTAGATATATTTTTAAGATATAAGCCGAGTTAAAGATGGCATAAGGGAGGAGTAAAGAAAGGTGAAGGAAGTACCAGAGCAGAGGCTAACGGGAGGAGTGGAAACATGGCAAACATTAGGCAGCTTAAGAGCTCTGTTCATGTCGATGTTGAACCCATAACTGGCTGTCTTGTTCTTATCCTACAGATAGCTCAGACACTGAGGGCTGCTCTCCACAAGCCCCGCCAGCTCCGGACAGCAAGGTTTGTCCGGCTTCGTCAGGTTGCTTCCCGCCTTCACGTACGACAAACAATCCGACAAGTTGAACAAGTTCGTCATACAATCCGGCGTCGCGTTGGCGTCGGTGCCAGTGCCTGTGCCCACGTCATCTCGGCGCTGCAGAATGTTATTACAAGGATGGCGGCAACGATGTTGTTCATTTTGGTCGGATTCACAGTAGATTTTAACACTCTGCGTGTGTGTGAGAGACATGGGACTGTTTATATATATATCCAAGAGTGTTAGTTTGAAATTTGAAAGGTAGGAGTAATGTGAAGCCGAATTTAATTCAATTTATTGCAACCACCAACGAAGTTTTTTTTCGCCATCTTCATATGCTCTCACCGCCCTAGAAATAAGTTGAAAGATTTTAAAAGTCAGCTTGCTGTATTTACATATATAGATTGATAGATTAAACAAAGTATTTAATCACTAACTTTTATTGCGTCTTTGTTTTAAACATCTGATTTTAATTTTTTAAAATTTTATCATTTAATTAACTTTTAATTTTTTTATCATCTAATCTCTAAAAGTCTAATACCATCTAAACTTTATTTATAGAAAAGTCTCATAAACTTTTTTTAAACTCAGAATTTATATTTTCTTCATTTTTTTTTTCTTTTCAAATTTAAACGATTAAAAAATATTACAAAAGAAACAGATAAGCCAGGCCGTTGCAGCCACAATTTATAAAGACCCGAGTTTTGGATAAATTATTTCATGGACTCGGTTTACCACGTCATTCATGGTCTTAATAAATTACATTAATTTATTTTAAAATAACTTTCAAATAACTGTAAACTCCTTGTTTACACGTAGGAAATAGTGAAGATTCACATTTGAAAAAATAATATAGAAAAATGTTATTAGTTGAGACCAATAATAACGCGGTGATCTGATCCTTCTAATAATTTCCAAATTTTGCATTGTCACAAAATCGGATCCAAGCTATTAGGAAACGAAGAAAAGGGGCAGCCCAATCTCCCGTTATGTCACGTACCACCTAGGGGTGTGCAAAAAAATCAGATTCGATTGATTGGATCTGATCCGTTGATTCGATCCAAAAATTTAGATATCTGATCCGTTTTTCAATTTTTGGATAGTTCTGATCAGGTATTCGAACTGTTTTTTGGATTATCGGATCGAATATGGATCGATTAAAATTCGTTTTCGAATTATTCGAAAACCCGATAAAAAAACTGGGCTATATACGAAGATCGGAGACTCACCCCTTTATTTCCCAATTCCAGCCCCTCACATTAGCTCATTTGTGTACTCCACGCCAACCCAAAGCATTAATCGATCTCATTGGTTCCCTTTTGTCCTCTTCTATTCAACCCGTTCTCCTGCTTTCAAAGGTAACTTATTTTTATTCTTGAACTTTGCTAAGTTTTCCGAGGGAAAATGATGAGTATGTACTTGAGAACTAGGTTGCATAGTATGGTTCAGTGTTTTGGATGAAGTTTTCTAGTGATTGAATTTGTGGGTCGATCTTATGTGTTCTGTATATGCCTCTAAATAGACTAAATTTACAGCTGCTTTGTGAAAAAAGATGGTTGAATCACAAATCCCTCAAATGGATTTTTTTTTTTTGAAGTTTTGGGAAAGAAAGTTTGAATTTTCTTTTGTATTATTATGGAGTTTATCTATATGCTTTATGAAAGTTGAGAAGTTAGTCTTCTAGTATGGTTTGCCAGAATTTGTTCAGTTTATTTCACGAAAACTGAAATGCAAGTCCAGTTGTTGAAACACGTGAACTTGAACTGTTGATATTTGCAGATTTGTTGTATAAAAGTTCATGTTTGTATTAGTCCAAACACTTTTATTTTGATGAACGCCCTTTAGACTCTGGTAAACAGTGGTCGTCGCTCTATTCTCCCTCTCAACTTTTGAAGATGACGAGCCAAAACCCTAATCAATCTCCATTTCACTCTCATGTAAAGACTATATTTTCTTTTGGGTAAATAACGAAACAAACTAATATAGTAAATAATTTATAAAAAATGAAATGTAATGCATACATTTTGTAATATAGAATTAGAGGTGAAAGAATTAATTGTTCCAATTGGTACATATTTTATTGCTTGTTTATAGAATATGTCATATTTTGATGAGAATGAAGATTTTAATTCCGTATTTGTTGACTCGATGATGGAGTCTAATGAGGATGGAATAAAAAATTCAGCAGGAAAAAAACTTTTGTCGATAAAAATACCGGAAAGAGGAAGAGAAAGTCCAAGTGGTGGAGTCATTTTTCAGTTGATAAGGAGGATCCCACTTTTGCTTCCTGTAAGTATTGTCAAAAACTTATATATTGTAAAACCAAAAATGACACTACATCTTTAGCAAATCACATTAGTAGGTGCAAAAAATATCCTCCAAATTTGGATAAGAAACAAAAATTGATTGATTTTGAAAGTGAAACGTCGGTAAATGAAGATGTAAGTACTGAAATAGTTTGTGTTCCAAAATGCTGGAAATTTGATCATGATTTGTGTAGGAAGAAGCTTGCTAAAATATTTATTGTGGATAAATTGCCTTTTGCTTTTGTCGAATGTGAATGTTTCATTGAATTCTGCAAGGCTTTAAACCCTTTCTTTAAGCTTCCTTCTCGTACAACTGCCACTAGAGATTGTTATGCTCTTTTCATTAAATAAATAAATGAGTTGAAAAAAACTTTTAAGAACTTACGTTCTAGGGTTTGTCTAACCATAGACACTTGGACATCGGGTCAAAATTTAAGCTATATGTGTTTGACAGCCCATTTTATTGATAATGAATGGAATTTGCATAAGAGGATAATTAATTTTTGTCCAATTGCTAGTCATTCCGGATAACTTATTGGCAGAGCTGTTAAAAATTGCTTGATTGAATGGGGTTTGAAAAATATTATGACTATAACCGTAGACAATGCTAGCTCAAATGATTTAGTAATTGAACACTTGAGAAGAAGACTTACCATTTGAGAGTCTAGTTTATTGAAGGTTAATATTTACATATAAGATGTGTGTTCCATATTTTGAATTTGATTGTGAAAGAGGGTTTGAAAGAACTTGATTTGTCTATTATGAAAGTTCGAACTCTTGTGAGATATGTTAGATCTTCTCCCGCTAGACTTCAAAAATTTAAAACTTGCATAGAAGAGGAGAAAGAGGATATCAAAAGTCTTGTTACTTTAGACGTTGAGACTAGATGGAATTCAACTTTCCTAATGCTCGAATCGACTATCAAGTTTAAAAAGGCATTTGCTAGTTTGTACATGAAAGACTCTTCTTGTTTTAAGGACCTTAGAAAGGTTGGTGGTAGTCCCATTGAAGATAATTGGAAGAGGGTGAGTAGTCTTTTTTACCTTTCTTGAGCATTTTTTATGATGCAACATTGGGGTTATCTGGTTCTCGTTATGCGACTTGTAACCATTATGCACACGAGATTTACGGGACTAGATTAATGATTTTCAACATAAATGATGATGATGAGGGTATTAAGAAAATGACATCCCAAATGATATCTAAGTATGAAAAGTAATATAGGAATATTGATAATATCAATATTATGATGTTTGTGGATGTGGTCCTTGACCCTAGGCACAAGTTGAATTATGTTAATTGGATTGTGCATGATTTTTATGATGAAACACAAACCACTCTTTTGTGCCTCAAAATTAAGATAGTTTTGCAATCTTTATTTGACTCATATGCTTTTTCAATGCCTCCTTCAAAGACATGTGATATGTCTTCCTCCACTTCTATATCTTTATCTAATTTCACTCAAGGTGGGACTCAAAGTGGAGGTAAGATTGATCTTCAATAACTTATGGCTTCAAAATTTCAAAGGGATACGGGTTGTTTGTTAACTAGTGCCAACAAAAATGAGTTGGAGAAGTATTTAGAAGATTCTTGTGAGTCTCATGTTTCAAATTTTGCTATCCTACAATGGTGGAAAGATCAACCAAAAAGATACCCGATTCTTCATAGGATGGTTAAAGATGTGCTTGCCATACCTATCTCGACTGTAGCTTCTGAGTCAGCTTTTAGTACGGGGGTCGTGTCCTTTATTCTTTTCGCACTTCATTGACTCCAAAAATGGTTGAAGCACTTGTTTGCACTCAAGATTGGTTACGCACCTCTCGGTCACCTATTATAATAGAGGAAAGTTTAATTGCCTTGGAAGAGTTGGAAGAAGGTAAGTTTATTTTTACTTTTGATTGCTTCTTTTTTTGTTTATTCAATATTTAAAACTTAAACATAAATGTATATTTTAATCTTTTTTGTAACACACATCTCTCGTATACCTTTCCGTACACGAGATATAAATGTCACATCACTTTTAAAGCATTTCCTTATTTGAAAATCCATAAAATTTTGTTTCTTTTTATAAAACATTTTAATTTAGTGACAATAAAACGTTCATTAAACTTATGTAGGTAAACAAAAGTAATATTCAAACATTTCATTTTTTTATATCATGGTAAATCAAATACTTTTCAGAGCGCTTTTACTAAGTCTATTACATGCCAACTTAAATACATAAAAAGTAGATGTGGATGTCGTACAATTACTGATGAGGCGACCCTTGCTTTGTGATGTTAGATGATCTCCTTACTCCTGTTGAATAATAACCTACGCGTGAAATTAGCACACTCTAAGAAATATCTTAGTGATGTATAAATAATCATAAGAAAAATTATAAACATAAGTATATCATAACAATTCTGATATCAATTAACTCCTTCAATTCATTATAATCTCTATAGTTTGCACCTGTAGGGATAATAAAAAAATTCACAAATTTACTATAAATTAAGTAGTTTGCACACCCAATGCCAATACAGAAATTCATAAACTCATTATCAATTTCTTAAGTTGCACACATAGTATCAATACCGAAATTCATAAACTCATTATGAATTTCTTAAGTTGCACACATAGTGCCAATACGGAAATTCATAAACTCATTATGAATTTCTTAAGTTGCACACATAGTGCTAATACGGAAATTCATAAACTCATTATGAATTTCTTAAGTTGCACACATAGCGTCATTCGGTAATCACAATACATACATTAAACAACATGCATCTATGACTATCATAACATATAAGTACATAATAAATGCACTCACATGGCTTGCCTCGCTATTATATCCAAAACGCAAATCT